CCCCCCCCCCCCCCCCCCCTCACACACACACACACACACACACACACACACACACACACCACCCCCACCTAAACATTTCGAAAAGCATACACACGCACCTGCTATTTTATGACTAGCATCCCGTTTTCCTAAATAAACCTGCCTAACCATCCTGATGCGGGCCTATGCTTGGTAATCCTGTGGTTCTATGCAACAAACCAGCAGGTGTTCCCAGCTCAACTAGCGTTACAGTCCTCCTAACACAGACAGCCTTATTGTTTGGCATTGCTGAATATTTAATATTGTCTGCAACCTTTAAACAACCTTATATCAGACTCATCTGTCACAGAGTTCCTATTGAGTGGACTGGGTGCTTGCGTCAGCTAGGATGCACGCTTGGAGCCCCGAAGTGTAAAAGGGGAAAGGTGAAGAGATACTGTATATTAACTGTTGGCCCACAGCAAGCCAAAACAGGAGGCTAGTGGCTCCACAGATGGCCCCTCATCTTCCTCTTTTTTGACCTTGCTCTATCCCTCAATACCCCAAGCCAGCATCACTCGATATGTGAGAAAAGAGGTTAGGGAGGGGAGCAGGGCATGACTCCATCTTTAGATAACATATGGAGAAGCTACTGTCTTACAATCCATCACAGGCCAGGACACATGAGAACAACCAGGATTTCATATTGGAGGCATTTTCCCCGAGTAGAAAAAACAAGGTAAGTAGAATGTGGAAAGCTGGCAGGCTCCCATTCTACTATTTACAGGGCTTTAACCTGCCAGCATTTTCAGCAGCTCTCATGATACAAAGGGAATGGAAAAGAGATTTTAAACCAGGACTAAAGTACATATTTCAACTTATCAATTCCCATGACTATTGTGTGTCATACACTTACATTTACCAAAATGTAGCTTTTACATTTGTTAAAATGCTGTATTGGTGTTAAATTGTTGAACTCTGGGGTCCGATTTGGATTGGATGGGGGCACCATTTGGAAAGAATCACAGTAGTAACAGTGTAAGATCAAAAGTGTTTTCCATCTCACTAAGGATTACTAGATCAACCAAAGGATATATAGTATGCAGACTGGACTGTATATATGTGTTTAAATCTACACAATGCAAAAAGTATAGATGCTGGCTTGTTTAAATAAAGTAAATTCCTAAATTAGATATTTGTCCAAGTTATTCATTGAAAACCAGTTTTCAGAAGCTCAAAGAATGAGTCCTTTAAATTCCATGGCAATATCTGTGATCTGTCCGGATGAAATCCTGTCATTTCTGCAGATGGTTCTTCACAGTATTAGTAGCAGATGGACAAGGATTATATCATCAGGACAATACAGACAATGTCAGGCACGTTCATGACTGCATAAATATATACGAAAACTTTACAAGACTGGCATATTACTGGCATCTAAACCTTTATGGCACATCTTCTGTTGTGCAATGCCACAAACCTAATTCATGTGGTACTCAACAAAAAACCTATTTCCAAAAGCTGTTTGATTCAGGTCTGGTGCATATAGAGTAATCAGGATAACAAAATACTTAAATTAAAAGCTAACACATATATGGACTTAGCAGCACGAATACAAAAAAACAACAGTTACATGGGCAAAGAAAAAACATGCAAAAACGACAATAAAATGTGTGCACAATCATGTAAAACACTGGACTTAGCAGCACGAATGCAAAAAAACATCAACAGTTACATGGGCAAAGAAAAAAACATGCAAAAACTACAACAAAATGTGTGCACAATCATGTAAAACACACATAAACAAGACGCATGTACACACACACAGACGTGGATACATGTCATCACCCACCACCATGCCCCCACCTCATTGTGAATCTCCTCACAGTCCTGTAGTGTTGTCGGCAGCAGGGCCAACAGGCTGTGGGAGCCTGTCTCTGGGTCGGTGTGCAGGTTGGACAGGGCCTCCCGGCATCGTGACTGGATGTAGGTCAAGGTCCCACTGGAACACTAAAGAAAGGGACAGACAGCAGTGCAGGGCTTACCTAAGGCCTTGGACTTCTGTAACAAAAGACAATCCAAAACTTACATTAGCTTAAGCTTTTTTTTTTAAAAAGAAGAGGTCTTGATGAGCCCCTCAAATTTTCCTTGAAATTTAATGATCCTAATGATGGTTCTATCAGTATTACATATATTTTTAATCCAAAACATTTTTGTTAATTTTTCAAAAGATTTTCAGTGTTTTACAGTGTTAATTTTACACTTCTTCTTTAATTCAGCAAAACCTATGTACATTGTATGCCATTCACTTACTAGTTTTAGTTCTCAGTAAATGTTGGTGTTGGCGGCTTGTAAGACAAGTTGAAGTACGTGTTTGAAAGGTTTTCCTCTCATAATATATAAAAGAAGTATTCCATTTCATTGAAAACATCCATTTTTGAATTACACCATTGTGCTGTTTATCAGACACAGTAGTTAAGGTTTTCATTTTATGCAATCATTCCTTAAAATACTGTGTAAGTGCCAGCAGCAGTCCTTAGTGAAACCAAAGTAGGCTGTTTTCATGAAAAAGTTGAAATACTGTGTTGCCCCCTTTAAGACCTCTTGGCTTCTCACCTCAGCCACTCTGTGTGTGGAGCTGAAGCGTGCAGTGTCTCCAGCTAGGACACAGTGCTGGTGGGTACTGTTCAGGTCATCTGGTAAATACAGGGAAGAGAAAACAAATCAGAACACACTATCAATAATACCAATGATCATCAAAAGAATGGCGAAGAATAGTAGCGACCAGAAAAGAAGCAGAAATAAATAACACTAAATAAAACACTGTAGAAAAGCAAGCAGAATAAGAGTTAAGAATCATATTTTGATTTGGTGGTTTAATTAATTCTAACAGAGAGTAAAGAGGAGAATAAAAAGAAAAAGAGCTGCTTACAGGAAAAAAACAGATGAAAAGCAGGGCGTGAAGGAACATGACAACTAAATCATGTTGTACTCTCAGACAGATTGCACTTGGTCCAACACCAATCAAATAGAATGAGCAGTATTGTACCATAATTTTAATTACCAAACAAAACCAGATCGCACTCAATCTGTCAAGATGGAAGAGCCATACCAACAAACATTTGTCCAATATCACAGGAGCTTTACAAAGAGGCCTTACTGCTGTTTCCTGTGTATCCCTCCATGTGTTTCTTTGTGTGTATAGATGTTTCTCAGCTCTGCCATTATTTGCCTCATACCAATAATTAATTTAGCCATGACAGAGCTGTCATTCACAGCACATGTGCATATTTACACCCGCCTTGAGCAAGAGTACACCGGCTAATGCCTGTGATTTGAAAGTCAAACAGCCAAATTCTTTGGGAGGAAGATATTATTGTTTGGTAGAAGGAAAAAAAAGATGGTGACAAACAAAACAACTTGCCGGTGTTTTCTTCACCCTGATGAGATTGTGAAGGATTACGTCTCTGGGCAGAATTACTCTGCGTCTTTAAAACTGTTTATATCCAATAACAAATTATCTCCATCAATCTGCTCTTTTCTTGGCGCGTCTGATGCGTCAGTGGGATCAGGAGGGAGTAGAGGCAAACTCGATAACTGTAATAAATATTTATCTTTCTTTCAACCCCTGCGCCTGCTGCCACTTGTCCTCCTTTTCCAGGAAGCAGGCTTTTAAATATATTGGGTCAACTCTTTTCTGCAGTCCCTGTGTGCATTGGGAGCTGGAAATCTGATTATTGAACAGGCCCGGTGTCAAGACTTGCATTGTTCTTTTTTAACCACTGAAATTCCATTTGGGTGGAAATGATGGTGATTCAATTTGCCTCCAGCAGCTCAGACATTAGCAGTTCAAAAGGGCCAGCTGGCGACAAATGGTGCTAAAAAGACATTACGGTGTCTGTGGTCATACACCATTATAGTTTTCTTTTAATACCACAAAACTACTCATCACATGGTGTATGCCACTAAAACACTGGTGCAGTTTATTTTAACACCCGGTTTATTGGCGGCTGCTGTCTGTACATGCATGCATCCAGTAAGCAGAGGACTGTGTTCTTTGCATGTGTGAGTGTGTGTATATTCGCGCGTGTGAGTTCTGCAAATTTATAGGAGCGTGTGTATGTTCGTGCATTGTGCCAAGTATTTAATTTAGGTAGACCAACAAAGCCACAGACGACCAAAAACTGTGCGAGCTGCTATCGTTGTGCAGCAGTTGGCCTCTCAAGGGCGTACTAACCAAGTGGAGCATAAATCCCCACTGATCCGCGACAGTCAAGTCCCATTAGAATGGTCTGCACAACAGCCCATCACTCTATTATCATGACTGGCCTGAAACTGACTGTTCTATTGTAAATCTTATCCAGCTAAAGGAGGTCAGCTTCAAGCCCTGTCAGGCTGAATATTAGGTACAGACACTGCTTCTCTAAAATGAAAACATGGCAACCTCAAACAGTGAGTTTCTGAAATTCATTAAAACCTTCCCATTTCTTACTTGTAAAAAAATCAATTATTCAAAATGACAAACACTAGTAACCTATCTGAAAGTGACTCTAGCCATTCTAACATACTGTAACTACAGCAGTGCTCAGTTAGATATTGTATTTGTGTTAGATGAGTTGCAGTACAGTACAGGATGTACCGTATTTAATGCTTTGTTTGCCTTTAAACTACTTATATTACCTTGACTAATATTTAACTTCACATTCACATTTGAACAATATCAATATTCCTACAACCACTTTGCAAAAGCCATAACAAATATTATTAATGGTCTACCAAGTTCCAACTTACTAAAACAACAATGCATGTAAAAATTATTACATGGCAAACACTAATAACATTTCCCCTATTCCTAGAACAGTGACGAAAACCTTGTAACCACACACGAGAGCTGTCCTGTTTATGATGCTTAAAGATGCGGCTATACTGTAGTTTATAGTTGTACAAGCAGCTTACTGTGTAACACATTTGGCACTTTCCAGTGTTAGCAAAGCAGCTATGGTATGCTAATTACTCCAGACTGTATCAGCAACAGCAGTTTTATGCAGCATTTCATCTTTGTAGGCATCAGGTACTGTACCTGTACAGCATCTGGACAGTCCCTTTGTAGGGGAAATTTTTATGTGCCCAAGCTATAAAAAAAAGGCAGAGTGGACCAGCTCTCTTCCTGTTTTTGTTCTGACTTAATCCAATAAATCATCTGCCTGGTTTCCACAGTCATGCCCTACCTGGGAAGACACTGGGAAAACTTACAAAGGTCAACAGGTACATTACATGGTACTTACTACATTTTGCTTGTAGCTAACCCAAACCTCTTCTCAAAGAACTGTATGTTTTAAAGTTTTTAAAAATAGCGTAATTTTGAAAGGACCTTTTAGGCTCTAGTGCTAAGCAAAAAAATGAAACTCAACAAAATCATTAAGTAAGTACACAAAAATATTTCATAGGGAGCATACAGTATCTGCTCCAAAACCGTATTTGATATCTTCCTGTAGATCATGTCCGTTATATCCTCCTTATTCCAAATCCTTGTCAGTAAAAAAAAAATCCCAAAAGCAGAAAGTTGTTCAAAGTCTTAGCAGCGTATTGACTGTATGAATTTAATATTTATGCAGAGCGCACAGGTAGGGGTTCAGTGTCTTCACAAATACACGACGGCATGTGTGATTGTATTCAGACATACATATCTGCTGAACGGATCACAAGAAAGTCTCTCTAATCACTAGGCAAAACACATATGTTATCATAAATGAAGTAAAGCTCACAGATAGGCTAATAAAATGCAGAAAATAATCAAATAAATAAACACATTTTTGGTGTATTGATTTCTACATAAATATTGGGTACAATATGGTATTAAAAATTTAAGGGTGGCGGGTGGAGATAAGCGGTTTGGGACATAAGAGGAGGCACGTGATGGCCCAACAGTTATTAATATTAAAAACTGCGTTACAAGGGAATTTGACAAACCAATTTGGGGGAAAAAGCAGAACAAAAATAATTAAGTTTAAGCACTGGTATGTAATAATGGATTAAATAAAGGATGATAAAGATAGGAAATAAATAAGACAAAATAAAATGCATATACTATATTATGCTCTCAATAAATAACATGATTTGGTGTGGTGTTAGAATTAAATACGACAATGTATGAGGGCCACATTAAAGGGAAAAAAGTAAGGAAGATTTTTTTATTTTGCATGTTGACAGTAAAGTTGAAATGTCAAATATAAAGTCAAAATGTCGAAATTAGAGTCAAATGGTAAAAGTTCAATTTACTCTTACCACATAATAAATTATACTTTTCTTTAATGTGGCTCTAATACTCTGCTGTAGTTCAGTCTATACTGACTAATATAAAATATTTTGCTTATCTTTAGCTTACAAAATACATACAAATTCTGATTTTAAAATAAATTTAGACACAATAAGAGGACCGACTCTAGACTCTAGTGTCTATCCTTATATACTAATGAAAACAGACAGCCTTTAAAAATAATAAATGCACATTGGAACAGGTACACTGGGATGATACACTGAAGTATGGTACATGGGATAGGTACATTGGAACACAAGCATCTGCTGTCCTCACACTTAGAAAATATGAGAAAGCTTGGAAGGGCCTATGGGGCCAAAAAGAGGAGGGTGGAGGTGTTTGCTGCAGCCAAAAGCATTAAGTTGTGATTTACACTCCTGTGGCTTGCTCGCTATCCTCAACATAGAGACACAGTCCACACTGGGTCACAGGACTTCAAAAAATAACATTTGGTTTTCCTAACCTCTCTAATGCACACAATTTCATGGGACCTTAAAGTTCAGTGTACGGGCCAAGTAACCCCCCTCTCTCTCTCTTAAACACACACACGCAAACACAAGCATCTCAGCACCATTTCTTCTCCAGAGAGGGTTAGAAGAAGAGAAAAGAGTGCGGGAGAGTGAAGTGTCCTGGCACGGGTTATTTGGAACAAAGTACAAGAAACTAAAACATCGGTTAATAAAGGTGCTCCTTCCTGCAAAGTCAAACACGGCGCTTAAGGTGGCTGACTTGTGTGAGCAACACATTTGCATATGCATGTGTGCATGTATGTGTGTGCATGTTTGTAGACTAAGATTTAGTACCTCTCATGTAATAGCAGTCCCCGGACTCCAGCGGCAGCATTAGGCCAGGTGTGTGGATGTCCCAGGCTACTTTGAGTCCAATCCTCCAACATGACTTCTCACCGCTGCCTCCCTCACTGCTCTCACCTGTCAGTCATACACAAACCAACTCACCGGAACATTTGCATTTTACATTTATATTCACATTTCAGGCACTGAGTTGACAGTTTTCACCCAGCGTGACTTTAACTGAGTGTAAAAGTGCATATGCTTAAACTACAATTTCTCACATTTATATGGAAATACATGTGTTGCATCACTTATAATATACGCTGATTTAACCACATATTGATTTAACAGTTTTCTGCTATATCCACATCTGAAAATACATTAAGTGATATAGGGACAACAGTAAGTGAAACTGCTGAGCTGCTGCAGTGCAAAGGAAAAACTATAATAACGAGCAAAAAAGTCAAGTAAAATAAAATAAAATAAAAGGATTACCACTTTAAATATTAGGGGGTGTGATGGTTAAATCCACACCACCCAAACAATGGATGTAAGATGTAAGCCTTTGTCTCCAGAAAGTGAAACTGCTGAGCAAAGATGATATGTGTTGCTGTGGTCATATTAGCTGTTAGCACAGGATCTTTATGCTATCATTATGCTGTGCAAGAGGAAATAGTTGGATAAAAGCTTCTGATGTTGTTTAGTGAGTGTGTGAGACTGTGTTATTGGAAAGTGGATATCCTATGATATTCTTATTTCTCAACCCATTCACTATAGCCACCTCTCCCATTCTTCTCTCTCCAGAATGGAGAGAGAACGGAATTCTTACACGGCGTGCTAAGAAAACAAGATTTGGCTTGGCTGGCCAACACCCTTCAGCAAAATCAATACTAAAGTCTTTCTGGGCCTCTCTGCCCCACAGCTGCCTTTTCCTTTGCTCAGCATGGATAAATAGTAACTTAATTTCCAGCCATTGTGCTCTTAGAGTCAGCTAATGACAGCACTCCCCAAGGCCTCGGGAATGTTGAGAAGATCATCCTTTGTGCCGGAAAACACTCAGTTGTGGCAGATTCCTTTGGATCAGCACAGCTGGGAAAAACACAATTTCGAATGCTTCTCTGTCTGAAGCAAAAAAATAACAAAAAAACAAAAAAAAAGTTGAGGCTGCTCAAAAGGAGCTTCTCAAAGGAAGCAGGCATCATACAAAACATCTAGTCTCTGTACATCTATGTGCTGTGCTTCTTCCTTCTCAGGGACAGGCCTCTAAACGTGCAAAAGTCCTCAAGGTAACAATTTTATCACCCTGGTTCTGGGAACCCTCAGAGCCAACAACTGGAATATATCTCCCTGGCGCCCTGATCAGACTTTCTTCTCTAAAATCTGGAGCTGTAGGGTCACTCAGAACTAGAAAAGACACAGCTGCTAAGAACCGCTGAGAACTATGGCATGGTGTTATGCCATAGTGTGTGAGGCCCATGTTCACAGGGTCAGAGTTGAAGTGACCCAGAACAAATCATACAAGCAGACCTTTGGAGCAGGTGTTTTTGGTTAGGAAACCCCAGTGAAGAAAGCCCAGCTGTAAAGTGTGTTGGGATGTCAAAGCATTTGGTAGTGCAGTAATGACACTGTAAAAATACAAGGTACAGTTTCAAGACACAGATGCAGACTGTGCAGAGCTCCTACATTTAACAGTATGAACGTGTACAGCATGTTTGCTGAACTATGGCTGCAGCTTTATCTCCATCCCAAACATGAGACCTTGTTTGGCTTTTCTCTTTGGAAGGTGAAAGCAGTGCTCTCGTGCGTGGCTGACCAAGTGACAAGCTTTTCATTTTAAAACCTATGGAAAAGGGTTAGTTGTTTTGCACGTTCCAGAAAGAGTTTCCCTCTCATTGAGATTCTCTATCTACTCAATCAGCAAACGCAAACAGCTCTTGAAAGAGCGCACGAGCCATAATTAGGAGTCTTGGTATTTTTCATACAGTAGAGCCTAAGAACACTTATCAAAGTAGGGCTCATTATTCCATATCAGATAACTTCACATTGATCATTTCTTGGGGAAATGATTTAGATGAGATGCAGTGTGCATTTGATAAGGCCTGTTTGTTAGACTGCGCCATCGAGTGTGTGTTAAGAGCTCTGATCCAAATGTCTGTGATCTCTCAACGCACAGTGGGCGATAAGGCTGTCAGCAGCAAGCTGGTGATGACATTTGATAATGCCCTTACATTATCACATAGATGGATCTGATGGTTGCCTCACCAGAGGCCATGTCTACAGCTGCTACAGCACTGCTGTAGGGCCATAATAGACAAGGTTAGCTGCATCTGATCCACCATAAAGCAACTGAGATAAGTTAATGGGATATTGAAGAAAAAGAAAAGGAGGAATCCTAATTTCACAAACAAAATGCCAAAGAAGAGCATGACATACTTTGGATTAAAGCGTTACTCTGGTAAATAAGATATACTATACCCTTTTGAATCTATGGATTTCAGCTATGGTTCAATATAACTATCAGAGTTATGACGACGCTTACCTTTGTCATCGTGACAGCTATAGCTGTAAACAGCCACTGGCGAATGAGTGATCAGGTTCTCATCATGGTGCCACCCTACCGCCATTTTCCCCATGCCGTAGTAAGGCTCCTCTTTGAGTTGGCTCATAGCTGCTGGATCCATGTAGTTGAGTAAGGTGACATTGAACTTGACTGGACCAGTGCATACCTGTGGAGGACTGGGCTTGGAACAGCCCTGTCCACTTTCCTGTTTCTCCTTGTCCTCAATGTGGTAATCTGACAAGCTGTGCTTTAGTTGGACCACAGGTTTCTCCTGTGCCTCTAGTCCCACAGGTTCAGTTTCTGTGATACTGGTAGCCTTAGATGCCCAGCTGGGGCATTTTCCTTCACTGTGTTCGGACCCTGTTGCAACACTGGTTTCACTTGGTTTCAACTGGGAGGACTCGCCCTCCTCACAGCTGTGTTTGGACTCGGTTTCCCACTCTCCTTCTTGTTTTGACCCCGAGCAGCCTTCCTCACTGTGTTTTGATTCAATGTCCCACTCCTCACTGTGCTTGGACTCTGTGTCCCCCTCCTCACTTTGTCTGGACTCTGAGTCCCCTCCTTCACTATTCTTGGAGTCTTCACTGTGTTTAGACTCGGTGTCCCCCTCTTCACCCTGTTTGACTTCTACCTCCCCCTTCGCGCATTGTGTTAACCTGTCTCCTTCCTTCAGCTGAGACACATCGGAGCAGAAGAAGGTGTTAAGCTCCCACAATGCCTTGCAGGCAGCTCTCAAGTCTGGGTCACAACAATTTTGCCCTTTGGCCTCAGTGTCCTCACTGTGCCAAGGGATGGCAAAGAGCCGTGTTTCCAGATAGCGATAGGTGTGGCCGGGCTCACCCAGCAGGGCCCGTGACACTGCGGTGAATACATCTCGGTCACGGACACGAACTAGATCCTTCAGGAGGCAGCCCTTGCTTCTCAGGGTGAGAAAAGCTGCCTGCACCCGTCCATGGAGCTCAGCAGGCAGTGAGCAAGATCTCCTCAGAACCAGGCCAGAGTAACTAGAGTCCCACTGAGAAACAGAAGATTTTTTGTATTATAATGACACCGTGACAAAAATTCAAAAACACAAAAATATTACAAAGTTAGAGGTTTAGAGATCACTAGCATGGAACTGTGGGTGACTAACCAGCTGCTGGAAGCCCCGATCTGAAGGTCCCAGAAAGGGGATCCTCTGGTCTCCCAACTCCTGGAGTAGCTTCCGCCTCTGTGGGAAAGAACATAACAAAATGGGCTGATAAGAAGCAGCAGAAACCTACTGCATCTAGCCATGCTGTGTGTGGCCAAAAAGTGTTAATTCATTAAAACATTTCTATCTACAAAAAAGCACTACTTATTAACATTACAATATTCAATTATTACATGATCATCCAGAGTCGGGTTCTACTGCCACTTTCACTTTAGCACTTAGTGTAAGTTTGAGTACAAGGCTGCCTCTTCCTAGCAGAAATACTGTCTTTGCTGAATATATCTCCCACCATTTTACACGGTATTTAGAAATAAGCAATCCAAAAGTTATACGCTAGTGTGCAATGTACAATAACACCCTGTACTAACTTGGGACTGATAAGAAAAGCAAACTAAAGTTAAATCATGAGTCAGTGAATATGTTTTAATATGTGATGCTTTCAAAACCGACTGTTCGAGCACAGAAACCTGGTATCCAGTCATTTTCATTCACAGCTCACATTTTTATGATTCTTTTCAAATCTGCTGCGGCGTTCCTCACAACCTTATAAAAGCTGCCCTGTGCCACGCAGAGCCCCCCCAATAAAAGTGTCAGCCTGGTGGAGAGATCAAAGTAGCTTTCATTGGGCCACATTCCATTTCTAACCCTATCCCTGGCACCTGGCATAAAAACTATATTCCCAAATAAATGTTTGCTACTGTTTCCCCACCCTCCCTCTTTTCCCCTACCCATAAGTGTCAATGTATGTATACATGGAGGTGCTGTATATGTGGGTTCAGAACCTCCTATTCATCCCCCACAAGTGTACATATACACAGCCTCAGCATTGTGTCTCAGCAGCAGGAGATGGAGAAATGTCACCGACATGCCACTGTCTTTTTACATCTTTAAAAGTTTACCATGAATAGCCCATATATCAACCACAAAGTGGCAGTGATAGTTAAAGGAGAACTTACCCTGTGTATATTTCCAAGACATTTACAGCAAGTGTCTCACATTTCTTCTGACCTAATAATGCCAAAGACCTCATGTGGCACACCATGGGGAATATGAGAACTGACTGCCAAAACATATTCTGATTTTTAGTGTGAAATAAAATGTCCTGTTAATAACATTAAAGCCTAGGTATAAAAGATTATGTGTTCTGACTCAAACAAGGGTTGGTTCAAAAAGAGGGCAAGTGGTCAAAGTATATGCATTAAAGACAGGAGGAAGGGAAACTTATTAATGGAGGCAGAAGAAATGGGACGGCATCAGATCTGAGGCTGCTTGGTGAATTCACCTTCAGGGCTGAATTTCTACCTTAGGCTAAACAACACAGCACCTGCTTAAAGTTTTCTTAAAGGATGCACATGAGTGTACAGGCCTTCCAAGTTATTCTGGAGCAAACAAAAACAGACGTGCAGACAGTTGGAATCTAAAAACAAAACAACATGCACTATTCATGGCCAGACTACATTCAAAGGCTGCTGGAAGAAACTGACAACCTGACACACATTCATTGGTGTCAAATTCTAACAGAAGCTCAACATATCAAGGTGAGGCTCTGGGATAGAGTTGTATGTGTATGCATCTGCTGTGCTTCCATCTACTGTAACGGTGCGTGTGTGCATGCGCATAAGATTATTACAGTCTGCAAGCCACTACTGTGTACACAACCACATACTCTATGCATGTTTGTGTCACACACATGCCTTTCTTGAAAAATGTGCATCCGGGGTAGTGAGCATGATGCTTCAACCCCAATCACACACGACCAGGGCTGTCACACATGTGTCAAATACATCAAGCTACTCAGAGATTCCACAGAAAAAAGAAAGTCAGGAAGTTACAGGAGCCCTCTGAAGCAGATGGGCTCTCTCAGTACCAGAGAAGTGCTGTGTCTGTCTTCCTCTCTCTGTGTCTGTACCTGATTCTAGGAGAAAACCCACAAGGTGCAAAAAAAAGGTCTGCATTTTCACTCAGACCCAAGAAACAAGATTACCAATCCCACAATAACACAGATACTTCATGGTAGCTGTGCCAACCATCTGCACTGAGTGATATATCTGATGCTTTTTTTTTTCTTTTTTAATCTCTCTTCCTTGATGGGATTATTTTCTCAGCTGGACTGTTTATCACAGAAAAACATATTAGGTAGAATAGAACTGAATTGGATTGCTTCGATCTTGACCTATAAGACATATCAAACTGTGTACCATATATTTATTAATTTCATTTATTTGCCATCTGTGACACTCCAACAGACACTTTCTTCAAAGCATTCTTTGCAGAGTACTGTAGATTAATGCCCAGCATTTAGCATCAATAGCTCAAAAGAGCCAGATAACTCAGCTGCTGCGGGGATAAAAACACTTCCAGTCTGGCTTGAAGCTGCCCCACAGAGCCCATTGGAAAATATGTGGTACAACTGAGGAAGGAGGACACATGGATCTCAGTGGGGTTGACTAGATTTGGGTGATGAATCATAAACTGCATAAAATAGATTGGCTAAGATAGATTGAAAATGGTAACTCCATGTGGTGGAATAAAGGAAATATCAGTTCACCTTCTTTATCAATAGGTTTAATTGAGAATATGTGTTCTTACATCACTTAAGTAAACTGCTGTATAACCAAACATATCTTTTACATCTTTGAAGATAGTTTACTGTAAGCCCAGTGGGGCTCTTAATCAAGACAACCTCTGGGTTCAATCATTTGGTTGGGAAGAAAAGATGATTATGTGTGTGAAACGTATTGTAAAAAACTGCTGTGCTGTAAAGAATTCATTGAGCGATCTCTCCTGAGAATCATTATAAAATCTTGTTAGTGTGAGACTAGTTTATCTGTGTGAGAAAGACGCATGTGTCTAAGGACACTTGGCACAGAAGAAACAGAACCTAAACTACACAAGTTACTCCCAAAAGGTTGGGAGTACTGAGGCATTTCTAGGTAGGAGACGATGTGCTCCTCCCTTCTCCTCTTAAACCCTCAATAAGATGATACAGTACTTCATGCAGGCTTCTTGTGACAATATCAGCATGTTCTTCTTAATCTACAATGCCATGAAGGACATAGGCTATACCACGTTGTATTTTAGACCTCCAGCCAAATGAGGGCAACACCTCTATCAAGTGCAGACAAACAGATAAATATGGATTTCACACAGGCCTTTCAGAGCCCCAAAGACAACATGATGAAAGATAGCAGTGTAACAGAGCTCTGTGTTTAAACAGCAAGCCATTGGTGCTTGTGTGACACTTACAGTACTTCAGAATGGGTCTTCTGCAAAAGTGACAGTGAATCAACAGTTTTTAACAAGTCGGCTATAAACCATCAGACTACCTGTGTACATCAAAGGTGCTTCCGTCCTGCTCCATTTGGCACCAGACCGATGAATGTAGGGAGCCTGTGTGAAGCAACACAGGGCACAGAAAAGTCCAGGACGTGCCCACGCCATCAGAACTTTTGTGTTTGCATATGTGTCACATATAGTGTCATGTAGGAGCCTCAGTTTTTAACACAGAAAAATAGCTTTTCATTCTACATAGGCGCACACACACACACACACACACACACACACACACTTTTTTTTTCAACCTGCTTCTTGGTGCTGAGTTTTATCACTACTACCAAATGGAAATCAGCAGCTCCAGTAGTAGTTATAATGCAGGGACTGGCCTTTTTCAACTATTTTCACAAATGCTTCTACCGTTCATACACGCCACACATACAGTACACACACACATAGAAAAACATTCAGGGCAAAGTATTAACCATTTCTCACTTCTGACGTTTTGTTTGCAACCGCCTGTGTGGCATTCAATTATTTTAAGATTACCAGTTAGAAAGGGGTGACTCAGTGTGATGGCTAACTGAGCTAACTAGAATATGTGAGCCATGACCTCAAAGCAGGGGGGGTGATGTTGGTAATGTCTAACCCCATGTCTCCACACCTGCTCAGGACCAGCCCGTGAATATGAATATGTGAGAGCCGTAGGTCAGCGAGGAGGATGTTGACAGGAACATCCAAACAATACAGCAGCTTGTTTTCTGTTGATATACAACTCTGGCTGGATAATTCATATTATCCCAAGATGTGCTTACAGATTCAATTTGGCTTGTAGGTCTAGCCCACATTCGCACATCACATTTAATGCCTTGTAGTCCACCCAAGCTTGTGCAAACAAAATGGATCGGATGTTTATGTCAGTTATTAACAACATAATTCTTAACATTTCTCATGTGGACACACCGCAAAAAAAACCCTGCAAAGTTTTGATTACATTCAGTTAGTAAGGTTCAGAAACCTTTTGTTGTCTTTTGTTTTTCATTTAGAATAGCTCTTTTTCTCTTAATGGAAACGAATGCTACACTATTAAATGCTGCATATCTTATCAAATCACTGAAGTGAACAGTGTGTATACATGTTCAGCATGTGTTCTTTGAGGGTCTGCAGGTGGGGTAAGTGATGACAAATGGCAGACAGGCCAGCTCTAGCATATTAATTGTTGTTACAGACTGAAGGTTGTGTTGCTCATTTCACCTCACAACAGGTCAGCAGGGGATGTGATCATTAATATTTGAACATTTCCATCCATCTACCTGAACAAGAGGTCAGTCATTTAAAGGGCTGGCGCTGGGCAGACCTTTCACGCCCTGTTTATAACACTGATATAAGCACGTTACCAGAGCTGTGGGGGACTGCTGCCAGTCATTAATTAGTCTCACACTCAAACACACACACAATGTGACCACCTTTATTGGCATCCAGTCACATTTGAAAAATGTCACACATGGAAGATAAGGTAGAGGAACACACACACAGTGTTCCACTAAAATCAAACGGTCTGTCCTGTTCTCTGTTTGTGAGCCATGTACACTTTCTCACACACATATGTACATCCATCTATTTCTCCAGTCATCCCAGGGTTTTCTTGTCAGGTAGAAAGTATGAGTGCAGGTGGGTGAGAAAGACAGAGAAGAAGAAGAAAAAAGGTATTGGACCTCATCTGTTTTTTGAACTCTCCATCTCTC